GGGGGGGGGGGGGAAGAAGTAATTTGAACCTGTTTTTGTATAATGAAATAACTCCTCCAAAGTCTGGCGAAGTATCCGTTGTGCAACCCTGCCCCCTTCCCAACTGTAAGGCTTTTGGTGAACCTACAAGGGTAACTCTCCCGAAAGCTGGGGCTCCCCGCACACAGACGGGAGGTCGGGAGGCGTTTGCGGGAGGAGAAATTCGGCTGCTGCGGAAAGATCCACCGCCTTTTCCCCGAAAACCCCCTCGCCCTCCTTCTAGGTACCCTTCGCCACCGGCCCCAGCTCCGCTGCGGGGAGCGGGCGTTCCGCCGGGGGGAGGGAGGGATGCTGGCGGGGTCCGGCGGGGCAGGAGCGGGGTCCGGCGGTGCGGGGCGGTGCGGGGCGGTGCGGGGCTCACCTGGGCCCTCGCCCGGCGGAGGCGGGCGGAGCGGGGGCGGAGGGAGCCCGGTCTTCCCTCCCTCCCCGTCCCTCCCGGTCCCTCCCTCCCTTCCCTCCCTCCGTGGGCGCCGGCGGCGGCGGCGCCGCGCTCCCTCCAGCCGCGCAGCCCCGCGCAGCCCCCGCAGGTAAGCGCAGCGCGGAGCCGGGGGGTCCCGCCGTCCCCGGCAGGGAGAGGGTGCCGGGTTCCCTTTCCCCGCGGGCTCCGCGTCCCTGGCGCCTTTTCCCCTCCGCTTTTTGGGTGTTTTTTGTAGTATTTCTGCAAAGCGGTGCGCGGAGGAGGCGCACAGGGTCCGGCAGAGACGGGCTGGTTTGGGATGGGCTTTCCCGGGCTGTTGGCGTGGGGTCAGGCTGCTGTGTGTGCTGGGCTAACATCTCTGGGCTTGGAATAAGGAATGGACACTTGTTTGATTAAGGGACACTAACAGTACTGCCATTGTTCCCTTACTGTCCTGATTTTTTTTTCTTTTTTTTTTTTTCTCCTTTTTTTTTCCGTGAAGTGTCTTTGGATTTATTTATACCAAATTAAGGCAGTGGAAAAAAGTCCTAGTTAAAAAGAAAAAAAAAAAGGTTGCCACCTCTCTCTCCTGACTTCCTCAGTCCTTGGGACGAAGAGCCTGCGAAAGGCAGATGGGAGCTGTGTCCGTGTGTCCACGGAGTTTTGTGAAGGTAAAGGACAGGGAGAGGATGAATGACAAGCACAAGGGTACAGAGAACTAGAGAAAGACCGGGAGGGTGGGGAGCAGGAGGGAAGCTTTAGGACAAAAGCCGCCAGCAAACTGAAGTGAGGAGAGAGAGGTGGAACCAGGGGGACCAAGTTTCTTCCTCTCGCTCCTTTCTGCATGTTCTTTTTAAATAGCTCTGCAATGGGAACCCCTCCAAAAAGCTTCTTCCTACAGAAAAGCGTGAAGAGTTTTCTGTATAGCCCTTTAGCAGAAAAATGTTGGAATGCCTAAACTTTTTTTTTTTCTCGTGGATTTCTCTGTGGAGCTAGCTCACACCTTTCTGATTTCAGTTGTCTGTGAATAAATTAGAAGCTGCTCAGATCTCTCCCTTTCTTCATTTTTACTTTTTCTTCATTTTTACTTTTTCTTCATTTTTACTTTTTCTTCATTTTTACTTTTTCTTCATTTTTACTTTTTCTTCATTTTTACTTTTTCTTCATTTTTACTTTTTCTTCATTTTTACTTTTTCTTCATTATTTTTTTTTTTTTTTTTTTTTCCTTTGCTGCAATTTTTTTGAAGATTAGAGACAAAATACCTTACAGGAGCCTCTGTAGGCAATCTGTGTTCCCTAAGTGTTGGGGAATTGGGATGGCTTCAGCCTTTTACTACTCGAGACTGTTGCAACTCTATCTTTTCAAAGAAAAGCCCCTTGCATGCTAACTCCGGTTTGGTGTGCTGTACCATTTGGTCTAAAATGAGTCACTCTCAGGTCTGAGAGTCATGTTTCAATTTGGCAGCCAGGACCGCATGCCATGCAGCCTGTTACTCTTGTGTGAGGATGGGGTATAACTGCAGTACTAAAATAATGTATTCTGGCAATTTCAGCTGCGGGCTGACGCGGTGTTCTGTGTGCACAGGCGTAAGGGAAGCTCCGTCCTGCAGCTCACTAATGCTGGCTGTAGGCGTGCCATGTGTTTCTCCTTAACTGATATGTGCTTGGACTTACAAAGGAACTTGATAGGCCTGTGTTTTACTGCTGCTTTTATTAAACATTAACTACACAAAATCAGATGCTGTCTTCCTCCAGAAAAGATTGACACTCTCTCATCCTGTGCGGTCGCACATGAACTGTTTGTGTTCTCTCACTTTTCAGCTGCAAATAACTAAGGAAATGTTGCTTAGAAATACTGGGAAACACTCTTTCGTGCTCAGGGTGGTGTTGTCCTTATCAGTCCCTATTACAGATTGCCCCAATTAAACCTTTGGCTACTATAAACCTTGTTCTGAGAAGTTACGAGTAATGCTGCTGGTTGGAGAAATGAAAATACTGACTGGTGTCTGCTTTCTTTTCCTCTCCTAAACAAATATTGAGAGTGGAAAGGTTAAACAGCTTTTGAGACAAAACACATGGGAAATGCAAAATTAAAGTAAAGTCATGCTGTGTACCGAGCTTTAATATGCAAACTTAACGTGTGAGTAACAGACAACCTTATCACTGTGTGCAAAGATACTTAACAGCTGTGTGGTTTTCATCAGTAACTCTGGACGACTGTAATTGAAATATAATTTCTTCTCTGCTAAGAGATGGGAGAAAATAAAAATCAGTCTTTAACTTGGTCTTATAGTATGTTTCACACAGTGAAATCATGTGGGGAATCCAGGAGGGGGTGTTGAAGAAAGTATTTTGCTCTGGAGCTGAAACTTAGGTAGGACTTACATAGGGTTGGTTTTTACATTGCTGTGATGAGCCATTAATAACACCTTCATGAATTTAACACCTTGTCTCCCAGTAGCCTCTCCATGTTGAGCTTGCTTTGTCCAATATTCAGAGGCTTAGACCAGAAGGCAAGTATTTGTTCTGAGTAGCTTTTGTTTTTGGGAGACCACCACCATCTTACCTTGGAGTACCCAGCAGTTTTGTGCATTAGCTGTCAAAGGCAAGCTGCCTCCTCCAGGTGCCTGAAGAGCTGGATTTGAGCACCTCTAGCTGATGACCTGCCAGCACTTGCTGAGTGCTGTTACCATGTCATTTGCTGTGTCTGTGGCTTTTCTACTGCATGGGCACAAGAGAAAACCCAGTGCAGCTCTGTCACTGGCAGGGCTGGATGGCTACCTCTCACAGCCATTACTTGTGGTCTTGGTGATGGTCCAAGGACACCTAGAAGAATCTGAGAGTGGGAACAGGTTGTACTGTGAGGCTGTTGTCGTTCTGGTTATCGTTTCGCCCTCAAAATTGGAATTTTGTACATTTATGGGATGTCTTCCCTTTCATAAAGAAAAGTCCATGTAATTTAAGGGACACTTAAATTCAGTTTAAATCCATCTAAATGGGTTACTTGAACTGCAAGTGCTACCAGTATTTTACTGAAAGGAGTATTTGATCCCTTCAGCATCTTCAGTTTGTGGATTAGTTCTTTATATGTAGTGTATTTTACTACTTCCTTCACAATGGGTCATATTCTTTCTCTTTTGTTAGTTGTTTAGTAGTATGAAAAGGAAACAAAATTTTTAAAAAGTAAACAGTATGAGTGTAAAGAATAAACAAAAAAACCCCTGGAGGAGTTATCAAAAGGCAAAGCCAATAGCGGAAAAAGATCCAATTTGTGCTCTTTCCCCCCCTCCCTTCCTCTGTCCTTTGCTTTAAGGTTACTTTCCCTTCAGGAGCAGTCCCCATTTGAAGTCTTAGGATTTACTGACAGTTTGAAGGGAGAACACTGCCCACTGCTCTCCAGAAGGACTTGATCATGGGGAGCCTGCAGTGGCAATGGCTCGAACCAGTAGTGATCGTGCAGCATCTCATGTGTGTTTTTGACTTTGCTTTTCATTTCATCGTGAGGTGATACTGTAGAAATGTGACACTCCTGGTGCAGCACCGTGGCTGAACCTCACACGTCTTCTATTTTCCTTGAGATTCCTTCACAGCTAACTCAGAAGTTTAAGGCTTCATCCATGGCCCATAGATATCAATGGTAAAATCCGTGTTGGCACCGAATGGTTTTGGATTTGCTGCTTTGACAGAAATGCAAAATTATTCCCAGGGAAAAGGTCTATCAAGAGAATAAGAGCTGCTGTTCTTCTTGCATTTCAGGAGACTTGAATTTTTGGTTCTCCTCGTTTATTTTTCAATTTTTCATTGCCTATGCATTCTTGCACCTTCATTGCCACACCGAAGCAAATGACAGTGAGCACCTGAAGCAGATCTGGTGCCTTGTTTTGATTTTTAAAGAAGCTAGAATAGAATTCTGAGAAATGCCTGCTTTTTGTGTATCCAGATCTCTCCTTCTCTCATCCATTGCAGTTTCTTGACTGACGGACACTCTTCCCCCACACCCGAGCTGATGAAGAGCACGCCTGGCTTGCAAAGTATCGGTTATTGTTTGGCTGAAGATTGGACTCTAGGATCAATTTCCATTTTTGAGTCACTGGTGCCTCTTATTCTTGAAAACATAGTTTCCTTTTGTGCAACAGTTAGCACTGGTAAGGAAAAGAGCCTATTTAGTCCCAGTTTAGGTGGTGTATGGGTGTCCCTATCCCACATGGTGACTCCATGATCACCACATTTCCCTAAGGAGCTTTTGAAAAGATCTCTTGAGGTTGTTAAGGCATTGCATTTCTGTACAGAGGAACAATAGACTTGCTCAGATCAGTGCAAGGTCTCCAACACTTCCCGACAGGCACAGGCCAGAGTGGTTTGTTAAACACATTCCTCTCAGCCCTGCGTCTCCTTCCTACTGGATCTGGCTCCATCTTCACCCACATAACGTAGGATATAATGTTAGTGGGCACAAACAGGTGAGCGATGGTGCATCTACCCCAGGGTAAAGAGGCATTTCTTCCTAAAAAGAGTCGTGAACCTTCTTCCTCTGCTTCTGGCAGACAAAAGCAGCCACAGACTCACGTGGCTACTGTCGTTTGAGGAGTCTGGGTAAGGCATGGGAGCCCCTGCCAGCGGCGCTGCTGGGGGATGGAAGCCACCTCCCTTCTCCTCAGGCCACTCCTGGGATGAGTAGCCTGGACGGGGTCCTGGGCTGGGGTGTGTGGAGAGGGTTTTGCTTTCCCAGCGCCTCGAAGATCATTGCCAGAGGAGCTGAGTGATGACCTGGCTGTCGTTGGTGCTGGGGAAGAGGGAGGTAAGCATTGAGTTTTGCTGTTTCTCCCCTGTGGATTGCAGCTGAGGTGGTGGTGGGCAGTGTGGATCGGTGGCGTGAGGAATTCTTCCAGGGACAACAGTGGGAAGGCTGCATCTCTTCTAGCAGGAAACATGTTTTGGGAGCACAAGTCTGTATTGGTGAGAACTGTGTTACAGTTTTGTGCCAACTGGATTATTTTTATTTTAAATTGCTTTAACTTGAAAGGCATTGGAACTGCTTATTTTTTTTGGCTTCCATGTGGCATACTCTAGATAAAATTTGGAGGTACTTCCACCTTCTATTTAAAAATACGAAGGTGCCAAGTATGCAAG